TCAATTAAATTCCTTGAGCACCATATCCCTCCCTCTCACCTCCCCCTCCTCTTCCCCCCCCCCCCCCCCCAGGGGATCATGTGCGTATGAGATCTGTGCGCCACGTCTACCGCACCCTGGGACCAGCCATTGTTAACAGCATTAATTGTTCCAGGACTCAACAGAGAATGACGTCCGTTCATATCCCATAGTTCCTGCCTGACTCACGAATAGCGTGGCCTTACCTCAAAGGGCCCCTGAGCAGCGGCAGGTGTCACGCAAGAGCTGCAATGGATTGACATCTAAGTTCACAGGGGAGTACCTTTTTATCATTCCGCTTGTAACATCAGAAATCGGTGATGCCTTTCGGCTGTTTCGTAAAGGCGGTTAACATATGTAGGAGTTGAATTCACCTTGTTGCAACGTCACACAGCAATGAGAGTCGGTACGGGGGCCCATGGCAGATTAACCGGGCCCCTGGCAGCAGCAATGGGATGCCCGTAATCTGCCAGCACCCTATGACAAATGGAACCCACCAGCAGTGTAGCGTGACCTGAAAGTGGCACAAGGCATGAGTGTGGCGATGGAGACTGCAGCAATGTGGAGCCGTACAGGACCCATGAGACACTCTGGACCTGGCAGCAGCATGAGGACGGCGGTACGGGGGCCCATGCAGAATACGGGCATGGCAGCAAAGCAATGGGAGGCGCCCGTAATCTGCCAACACCCAAATGACAAAATGGAAACCCACCAGCAGTGAGGAGACCTTGAAACAGTGCACATTGCAGAGTGTGGGCGATGGAGACAGCAGCAATGGGAGGCCGTACAAGGTACCCATGAGACCACTCTGGACACTGGCAGCAGCATGAGGAGTTGGTACGGGGGCCCATGGCAGATTACGGGCCATGGCAGCAGCAATGGGAGGCCCGTAATCTGCCAGCACCCTATGACAAAAAAAATGGAACCCACCAGCAGTGTGAGGAGACCTGAAAGTGGCACATGGCAGAGTGTGGCGATGGAGACAGCACAATGGGAGGCCGTTACAGGGACCCATGACAGATTACGGTCATCTGGCAGCAGCATTGAGGAGGCGGTAACAGGGGCCCATGGCAGATTACGGGCCTGGCAGCAGCAATGGGAGGCCCGTAATCTGCCAGCACCCTATGACAAAATGGAACCCACAGCAGTTGCGTTGTTGAGAGACCTGAAAGTGGCACATGGCAGAAGTGTGGCGATGGAGACAGCAGCAATGGGAGGCCTACCAGGGACCCATGACACACTCTTGCCCTGGCAAGCAGCATGGAGGAGGCGGTACGGTGACGCATATGACAGATTCTACGGCCTGGATAGTCAGCACAATGGGTGGCCCGTAATCTGCCAGCACCCTAAGAACCATTGCAACTGCGCCGTAGGAACTTGGCCACCCCACTCACGGTGCTGAGGCAACCTGAAAGTGGCACACCAATGGGGCAACACACAGTGTGGCGTTGGTAGACTTCAGCAATGGGCGTCTGCCGTAGGCAGTGACCCCATGACCTCACTCTGGACACTGCAGCACATGAGGAGCGGTACCTGAGGCATCCCATGGCTCGATGACGAGCGGGCCTGCCAGCACCAATGCATGGCGGAAGGCCCCTGATAGATCTGCAGACACCCTATGACAAAATGCGATCCCCACCAGCAGTGTGAGGGTCTCATGCCTCTACCATCGTGGCCCCCGTCGGCAGGCGTGTGGCAGGAGACAAGACCTGTCCTCTAGGCCGGCTACCGGCCACATCTCGGTGGGTCTCGTCTCTAGGCTACTATCTTCAGCCTGGACGGCTCGCTGAAAGAGGCAGAATGGTCTCCCCCCCGTATCCTGACCGCCCTCTGTTATCTCTTCAGCACCCTATGTATAAGCAGTGGGTGCTGAGACCTCACCAGCATGGCTATACTTCGCTTGAGTGAGGGGAAACACCAAAGGCACATGGGCAGGTAGTGGCAGTGGAGCAGGTGCTCTACTCCGTGGGCCGTTTGCCTCCACTGACACTGCTGCGACCCTGGCCTGCCCCATCCTGGGCAACGACCACCGACTGTTTATGCTAGCTGCCAAGCTGGCACCCTCTTCCCTCGCTGAATGATGCGGAAGCAATAGCCTGATGACGACGAGGCTGCCAAGTGCGATCAGCCTCATCATCATCAATTAGGGTCTCCGCCTCACTTATAGCCCCCTCGGCTGCGTGTGGGTCAGGAGACAGACCTGTCTCTATACCGGCTACCGAGCCACTCTCCTCGCCAGTACTTCTTCGCCTTTTGCTGCTGAAGAGGCGGATGTCCCCCCCGTTCCTGACCGCGCCTCTGTTAGCTCTTCCTCACTGTAACAGTGGGGCTGAGCCCACAGTCATGCGAACTTCGCTGGGAGGGAACACCAAAAGGACAGGGGCAGTCCCCGAGAACACGTGATTTTCAGTGGGCTTGCTCCCGGGCCATTTCGCCAACTAACGATTGTGTCTGACGTACCCACCGACCGTTTGGCTGTAGGTGTCAGAGGTGACCTGGGAAGAGGAAGACGACCGAGCCAACCAATCGATGATGGCAGGGTTGTCGGTGGAGACACGACCGCTGGATGACACTGGGAGCACTGGCCTCTCAGCTGCAATTTCTAGTGCTGCCTTGACCCCTGTTCCTCTGCTGCCACGTCTGCTCGCAACCCTGAAACATTGCCTCCTCTGCCCACTACCCTCTGCGTGTTGTCTGACATACTCTTTAATGCTCAGGTAACGATTCTGTGTCCCTGAGTAACGATTCTGTGTCCCTGAGTAACAATTCTGTGTCTGTCCCTGAGTAACAATTCTGTGTCCCTCAGTAACAATTCTGTGTCCCTCAGTAACAATTCTGTGTCTGTCCCTGATAACAATTCTGTGTCCCTCAGTAACAATTCTGTGGTCCCTCAGTAACAATTCCTGTGTCCCCTGATAAACAATTCTGTGTCCCTGAGTAACAGTTCTGTGTCCCCTGAGTAACAATTCTGTGTCCCTGAGTAACAGTTCTGTGTCCCCTGTGTCCCCTGAGTAACAATTCTGTGTCCCTCAGTAACAATTCTGTGTCCCTCAGTAACAATTCTGTGTCTGTCCCTGAGTAACAATTCTGTGTCCCTGAGTAACAGTTCTGTGTCCCTGAGTAACAATTCTGTGTCCCTCAGTAACAATTCTGTGTCCCTCAGTAACAATTCTGTGTCCCTCAGTAACAATTCTGTGTCTGTCCCTGAGTAACAATTCTGTGTCCCTCAGTAACAATTCTGTGTCCCTCAGTAACAATTCTGTGTCCCTGAGTAACAGTTCTGTGTCCCTGAGTAACAATTCTGTGTCCCTGAGTAACAGTTCTGTGTCCCTGAGTAACAATTCTGTGTGTCCCTCAGTAACAATTCTGTGTCCCTCAGTAACAATTCTGTGTCTGTCCCTGAGTAACAATTCTGTGTCCCTCAGTAACAATTCTGTGTCCCTCAGTAACAATTCTGTGTCTGTCCTGAGTAACAATTCTGTGTCCCTGAGTAACAGTTCTGTGTCCCTGAGTAACAATTCTGTGTCCCTGAGTAACAGTTCTGTGTCCCTGAGTAACAATTCTGTGTCCCTCAGTAACAATTCTGTGTCCCTCAGTAACAATTCTGTGTCCCTCAGTAACAATTCTGTGTCTGTCCCTGAGTAACAATTCTGTGTCCCTGAGTAACAGTTCTGTGTCCCTGAGTAAGAATTCTGTGTCCCTCTGAGTAACAATTCTGTGTCTGTCCCTGAGTAACAATTCTGTGTCCCTGAGTAACAGTTCTGTGTCCCTGAGTAACAATTCTGTGTCCCTCAGTAACAATTCTGTGTCCCTCAGTAACAATTCTGTGTCCCTCAGTAACAATTCTGTGTCTGTCCCTGAGTAACAATTCTGTGTCCCTCAGTAACAATTCTGTGTCCCTCAGTAACAATTCTGTGTCCCTGAGTAACAGTTCTGTGTCCCTGAGTAACAATTCTGTGTCCCTGAGTAACAGTTCTGTGTCCCTGAGTAACAATTCTGTGTCCCTCAGTAACAATTCTGTGTCCCTCAGTAACAATTCTGTGTCTGTCCCTGAGTAAACAATTCTGTGTCCCTCAGTAACAATTCTGTGTCCCTCAGTAACAATTCTGTGTCTGTCCCTGAGTAACAATTCTGTGTCCCTGAGTAACATTCTGTGTCCCTGAGTAACAATTCTGTGTCCCTGAGTAACAGTTCTGTGTCCCTGAGTAACAATTCTGTGTCCCTCAGTAACAATTCTGTGTCCCTCAGTAACAATTCTGTGTCCCTCAGTAACAATTCTGTGTCTGTCCCTGAGTAACAATTCTGTGTCCCTGAGTAACAGTTCTGTGTCCCTGAGTAAGAATTCTGTGTCCCTGAGTAACAATTCTGTGTCCCTAAGTAACGATTCTGTGGCCCTAAAGTCTCTTTGGCCCTAACTCCTTCCCTATTACAGAGAGGTCTGTCTCTCTTGAATGACCGGAGGCTAATGGAGAATTGTAAGATGGCCGCAATTTATAGCTCGACCATTACACAGTGCTGGCTGGCTGGCTGCTGATTGGCTAATCCGATCACATGTCATGAATGAATGCATTATGGGTCAGCGCGCCTTGTCTGCGCGCCTTCCCAGAGATCCCCGCTCCGTCGCCACACATGTCGCCGCCATTTTTGGAAAATTTCGATTCGCGCATCCGAAGTCTGCTAATTTTCGCATTCGGCGCGAATCGAATATTTCCCAATATTCGAAACGAATTCCACTTCGCCAAGTTCGATTCGCTCATCTCTAATGGCTACAGTGCGGTTGTGAATTCCTGGGACAATGTCCATGCACATTATTCCAGGACATGCCCCCCTGCGCCCCCAGCGGCGCGCACCCGGCGCAGCCGGTGATTGCTGTGTCCTATGGACACAGCTGATCACAGGGTATGGAAAACAGCCAATCACGGCAGCTTTTTACCACGTGATCAGCTGTGTCCAATGACACAGCGATCACCGGGTAAATACAGTTGCCGGTTATCGACTGCACTTTCCTCACACTGTCACAGCGTGAAGAAAGCACTGCCGCGAACCAGCAATTGTCAGCGCAGGGATCGGCACTGATCATCAGGGCACCGATGATCAGTGCCCTGATGATCAGTGCCACCCACCTGTGCCCAGCAGTGCTGCCCACCTGTACCCAACAATGCCACCCACCTGTGCCCAGCAGTGCCACACTCATGCCCTGCATTGCCACCCACCTGTGCCCATCTGTGCCACACTCATGCCCTGCAGTGCCACCCACCTGTGCCCATCAGTTCCACACTCATGCACTGCAGTGCCACCCACCTGTGCCCATCAGTGCCACCTACCTGTGCCACTCATCAGTGCCACCCACCTTTGCCCTGCAGTGCCACCCACGTGCCCTGCAGTGCCACCCACCTGTGCCACTCAGCAGTGCCACCCACCTGTGCCCAGCAGTGCCACCCATCAGTGCCGCCTATCAGTGCCAGCTCATCAGTGCCACCTATCAATGCCACCTATCAGTGCCCATCAGTTTCCGCCTATCAATTTCGACTATCAGTGCTCATTAGTGCTGCCTATCCGTGCCACCTCATCAGTGCCCATCAGTGCTGCCTATCTGTGCCCATCAGTGCTGCCTATCAGTGCAGCCTATTCAGTGAAGGAGAAAATTAGCTGTTTGCAAAATTTTATAATAGATACAAAGAAAACCTTTTTTTTTTCCAATTTTTTTCTCTTTTTTTGTTTATAACGCAGAAAATAAGGCACCCAGTGGCAATTAAATACCACCAAATGAAAGCTCTATTTGTGTGAAAAAAATGATTAACATTTCATATGGGTACAGTGTTTGCATGACTGCACAATTGTCATTCAAAGTGTGAGAGCGCTGAAAGCTGAAAATTGGTCTGGGCAGGAAGGGGGTATAGTGCCCAGTAGGCAAGTGATTAAAATTATTATTATTATTATTATGCAAAACATGAGGGGATCAAGGGCCCTGCTCTTTCGAGCTTACAATCTAGGAGGGAGGGGGTGGTGGCACAGGAGGAGATAGCTGTGGGGGATGGAGTGGTAGGAAGAGTGGAGGAGGTCGGCAAGTTAGCAGGGGGTGGGGTAGGCTTCCTGAAGAGATGGGTTTTCAGGGTGCGCCTAAAGGAGAGGAGAGTAGGTGATAATCTGATGGGTTGGGGCAGGGAGTTCCAGAGGATGGGTGACACCCTGGAGAAGTCCTGGAGGCGGGCATGGGAGGAGGAGACCAGGGAACTAGAGAGAAGGAGGTCTTGTGAGGAGCGGAGTGTGCGTGCTGGGCGGGGACTTGGATATTAGGTCGGTGATGTAGTTCGGGGCAGTATGGTGGACAGCTTTGTACGTCAGCGTTAGGATTTTGAAATTTTATCCGTTGCACAATCGGAAACCAGTGGAGGGATTGGCAGAGGGGGGTGCGGGGACGAGCGGTTGGAAAGGGGTATTG